GGGGAGTATTTGGTGTAGGGGCAGGGGAGAGTATGTGGTGTAGGAGCAGGGGAGAGTATGTGGTGTAGGGGCAGGGGAGGAGTATGTGTAGGGGCAGGGGAGAGTATGTGGGTAGGAGCAGGGGAGAGTATGTGGTGTAGGGGCAGGGGAGAGTATGTGGGTGTAGGGGCAGGGGAGAGTATGTGGTGTAGGGGCAGGGGAGAGTATGTGATGTAGCGGCAGGGGAGAGTATGTGGTGTAGGGGCAGGGGAGTGTATGTGTAGGGGCAGGGGAGAGTATGTGGTGTAGGAGCAGGGGAGAGTATGTGGTGTAGGGGCAGGGGGGGAAGTATGTGTAGGGGCAGGGGAGTATGTGGTGTAGGGGCAGGGGAGTGTATGTGTAGGGGCAGGGGAGTATGTGGTGTAGGAGCAGGGGAGAGTATGTGGTGTAGGAGCAGGGGAGATTATGTGGTGTAGGGGCAGGGGAAAGTATGTGGTGTAGGGGCAGGGGAAAGTATGTGGTGTAGGAGCAGGGGAGAGTATGTGGTGTAGGGGCAGGGGAGTGTATGTGTAGGGGCAGGGGAGAGTATGTGGTGTAGGAGCGGGGGAGAGTATGTGGTGTAGGGGCAGGGGAGAGTATGTGGTGTAGGGGCAGGGGAGTGTATGTGGTGTAGGGGCAGGGGAGTGTATGTGGTGTAGGGGCAGGGGAGAGATATGTGGTGTAGGGGCAGGGGAGAGTATGTGGTGTAGGGGCAGGGGAAGTGTATGTGGTGTAGGGGCAGGGGAGAGTATGTGGTGTAGGAGCAGGGGAGAGTATGTGGTGTAGTGGCAGGGGAGAGTATGTGGTGTAGGGGCAGTGGAGAGTATGTGGTGTAGGGGCAGGGGAGTATGTGGTGTAGGGGTAGGGGAGGGTATGTGGTGTAGGGGCAGGGGAGAGGTATGTGGTGTGTATGCAGGGAAGAGCATGTGGTGTAGGGACAGGGGAGAGTATGTGGTGTAGGAGCAGGAGAGAGTATGTGTAGGGGCAGGGGAGAGTATGTGGTGTGGGGCTGGGGAGAGTATGTAGTGTAGGGACAGGGGAGAGTATGTGTAGGGGCAGGGGAAAGTATGTGGTGTAGGAGCAGGGGAGAGTATGTGGTGTAGGGGCAGGGGAGAGTATGTGGTGTAGGAGCAGGGGAGAGTATGTGGTGTAGGGGCAGGGGAAAGTTGTGGTGTAGGGGCAGGGGAAAGTATGTGGTGTAGCGGCAGGGGAGTATGGGGTTTGGTAGGGGCAGGGGGGAGTATGTGGTGTAGGGGCAGGGGGGAGTATGTGGTGTAGGGGCAGGGGAGAGTATGTGGTGTAGGAGCAAGGGAGAGTATGTGGTGTGAGGGCAGGGGAGAGTATGTGGTGTAGGGGCAGGGGAGAGTATGTGGTGTAGGGGCAGGGAGAATATGTGGTGTAGGAGCAGGGGAGAGTATGTGGTGTAGGGGCAGGGGAGAGTATGTGGTGTAGGAGCAGGGGAGAGTATGTGGTGTAGGGGGCAGGGGAAATTTATGTGGTGTAGGGGCAGGGGAAAGTATGTGTTGTAGGGGCAGGGGAAAGTATGTGGTGTAGCGGCAGGGGAGTATGTGGTGTAGGGGCAGGGGGGAGTATGTGGTGTAGGGGCAGGGGGGAGTATGTGGTGTAGGGGCAGGGGAGTGTATGTGGGTAGGAGCAGGGGAGAGTATGTGTAGGGGCAGGGGAGAGTATGTGGTGTAGGGGCAGGGGAGAGTATGTGGTGTAGGGGCAGGGGGTGTATGTGGTGTAGGAGCAGGGGAGAGTATGTGGTGTAGGGGCAGGGGAGAGTATGTGGTGTAGGGGCAGGGGAGAGTATGTGGTTGTAGGGGCAGGGGAGAGTATGTGTAGGGGAGAGTATGTGGTTTTAGGAGCAGGGGAGAGTATGCGGTGTAGGGGCAGGGGAGAGTATGTGGTGTAGGGGCAGGGGAGTGTATGTGTAGGGGAGAGTATGCGGTGTAGGAGCAGGGAAGAGTATGTGTAGGGGCAGGGGGGAGTATGTGGTGTAGGGGCAGGGGAGAGTATGTGGTGTAGGAGCAGGGGAGAGTATGTGGTGTAGGGGCAGGGGAGAGTATGGGGTTTGTAGGGGCAGGGGAGAGTATGTGGTGTAGGGGCAGGGGAGAGTATGTGGTGTAGGGGCAGGGGAGTGTATGTGTAGGGGAGAGTATGTGGTGTAGGAGCAGGGGAGAGTATGTGGTGTAGGGGCAGGGGAGAGTATGTGGTGTAGGGGCAGGGGAGAGTATGTGGTGTAGGAGCAGGGGAGAGTATGTGGTGTAGGAGCAGGGGAGAGTATGTGTAGGGGCAGGGGAGAGTATGGGGTTTGTAGGGGCAGGGGAGAGTATGTGTAGGGGCAGGGGAGAGTATGTGGATGTAGGGGCAGGGGAGAGTATGTGGTGTAGGGGCAGGGGAGAGTATGTGGTGTAGGGGCAGGGGAGTGTATGTGTAGGGGAGAGTATGTGGGTGTAGGAGCAGGGGAGAGTATGCGGTGTAGGGGCAGGGGAGAAGTATGTGGTGTAGGGGCAGGGGAGTGTATGTGTAGGGGAGAGTATGTGGTGTAGGAGCAGGGGAGAGTATGTGTAGGGGCAGGGGAGAGTATGTGGTGTAGGGGCGGGGGAGAGTATGTGGTTTTAGGAGCAGGGGAGAGTATGTGTGTAGGGGCAGGGGAGAGTATGTGGTGTAGGGGCAGGGGAGAGTATGTGGTGTAGGGGCAGGGGAGAGTATGTGGTGTAGGGGCAGGGGAGTGTATGTGTAGGGGAGAGTATGTGGTGTAGGAGCAGGGGAGAGTATGTGGTGTAGGGGCAGGGGAGAGTATGTGGTGTAGGGGCAGGGGAGAGTATGTGGTGTAGGAGCAGGGGAGAGTATGTGGTGTAGGAGCAGGGGAGAGTATGTGGTGTAGGGGCAGGGAGAGAGTATGTGGTGTAGGGGCAGGGGAGAGTATGTGTAGGGGCAGGGAGGAGTATGTGGATGTAGGGGCAGGGGAGAGTATGTGGTGTGGGGGCAGGGGAGAGTATGTGGTGTAGGGGCAGGGGAGAGTATGTGGTGTAGGAGCAGGGGAGAGTATGTGGTGTAGGGGCGGGGGAGAGTATGTGGTGTAGGGGCAGGGGAGAGTATGTGGTGTAGGGGCAGGGGAGAGTATGTGGTGTAGGGGCAGGGGAGAGTATGTGGTGTAGGGGCAGGGGAGAGTATGTGGTGTAGGAGCAGGGGAGAGTATGGGGTTTGTAGGAGCGGGGGAGAGTATGTGGTGTAGGGGCAGGGGAGAGTATGGGGGTGTAGGGGCAGGGGAGAGTATGTGTAGGGGCAGGGGAGAGTATGTGGATGTAGGGGCAGGGGAGAGTATGTGGTGTAGGGGCAGGGGAGAGTATGTGGTGTAGGAGCAGGGGAGAGTATGTGGTGTAGGGGCAGGGGAGAGTATGTGGTGTAGGGGCAGGGGGAGAGTATGTGGTGTAGGGGCAGGGGAGAGTATGTGGTGTAGGAGCAGGGGAGAGTATGTGGTGTAGGGGCAGGGGAGAGTATGTGGTGTAGGGGCAGGGGAGAGTATGTGGGTGTAGGGGCAGGGGAGAGTATGTGGGTGTAGGGGCAGGGGAGGTGTGGATGGTAACTACAAAGAATCACTATACCATACACATTACAACAACACAAGCAAGTACAGTACTACAGTGCCAGGAATATTTTTGTCATTGTCGGGCGAAGATGCAGTACAAACTACAGCCATTCCAGAGGTACATTACTGTAGCTACCATCAGACTCAAGGTTCAAGGCTCCGAGCTCTGGGTTCAGAGCTCAGAGCCCCGGGCTCAGGGCTCCGGTTGAGATGTATGGAATGAGGAATAAGATGAAAGAAATGTGAGAAAATAAAGAGGATAAATGGTTAAAAATGAGATCAAGGGTTAGTAAAGGGGATAAAGGGTTAAAGTGAGATCAAAGGGTTAGTAAAAGGGATAAAAGGTTTAAAATGAGATCAAAGGGCTAGTAAAGGGGATAGAGGGTTAAAAATATGATCAAAGGCTGGTCCAAGGTCGGGCTCCTGGAGTAGAAAAACTCCGGAAACTCATTAAAGGTCTATCTAAAGGGTTAAAAATCATGATAAAAGGTAAATAACAAGGATATAGTGTTAGAAATGGGAATAAATGATTAGAAATGGGGATAAAGAATTGAAAATTGGAATAAAAGAGATAAATAATGAAGATAAATCATGGGATAAAGGGTAAATAATGAAGATAAATGGGATAAATGTTAATGAAGATAAATGGGATAAATATTAATAAAGATAAATAATGGGATAAGATGTAACGAAGATAAATAATGGGATAAAGGGTAATGTAGATAAATAATGAGATAAAAGGTAAATAATGAAGATAGTAGAAGGGCACACAATGATAAACATAATTTACAACATTTAATGTTAAAGAACTATACTGTGACATTCCATAAGGTACTGTACTGAGGTAGGGAGGTACTGAGGTAGGGAGGTACTGAGGCAGGAAGGTACTGAGGTAGGGAGGTACTGAGGCACTGAGGCAGGGAGGTACTGAGGCAGGGAGGTACTGAGGTAGGGAGGTACTGAGGCAGGGAGGTACTGAGGCACTGAGGTAGGGAGGTACTGAGGCAGGGAGGTACTGAGGCACTGAGGTAGGGAGGTACTGAGGCAGGGAGGTACTGAGGTAGGGAGGTACTGGGGTAGGGAGGTACTGAGGCACTGAGGTAGGGAGGTAAGGAGGTAAGGAGTACTGAGTTAGGGAGGGAAGTAATGAGGTAGGTTGGAAGGGAAATACTGAGGTAGGGAGTTACTGAGGCAGGGAGGTACTGAGGCAGGGAGGTACTGAGGTAGGGAGGTACTGAGGCAGGGAGGTACTGAGGCAGGGAGGTACTGAGGTAGGGAGGTACTGAGGCAGGGAGGTACTGAGGCAGGGAGGTACTGAGGTAGGGAGGTACTGAGGCAGGGAGGTGCTGAGGTAGGAAGGCAATGAGGTACTGAGGGAGGTACTGACCATGCTGACGCCATCTGGGCAGTGAAGTCAGCTCCCAGCGGGTATGGGTACTGTCCAGAAGTGGCGAACGGGTACACTGGCGGCCGCAGACCTGTGGAAGATGATACACTTCACTGTATACCCTCACTGTACACTCTTACTGTACACTCTTACTGTACACCCTCACTGTACACCCTCACTGTACACTCTTACTGTACACTCTTACTGTACACCCTCACTATACACCTTCACTATACGTCTTCACTGTACACCCTTACTGTACACTCACTACACACCTTCACTACACTACTCTTAAAACTATGTATGGAACCTACTTTCACCATTTCATTGAAAACATTCCACTATTTGACCATTCTGATACATACCTTTGATGAGTCTTTCTACTCCCTGAGCCCAGCCATGGGCCAGGCTTGTCTGGTGCTTGCCTGTTGCTGCTGGTGGTCCGTTGACCCATATATCCGTTACAGCCTGGTTGATGTGGCACCTGGTGAAAATACTTGTCCAGTTTCCTCTTAAAGATTTATCTCAGTAGTGTTTGATATCTAAGACTAAAATTCTTGATATCCTTGTGGTTTATCTGTGCCTATAACTTCCAGCTGTGTCTCTCCGAATAGCTGTTTCTCGCTTTTAAAGAGCCTGTCACTGTTCCCTCCCCCCCCCCCTCAGTTTCTCTGAGTATTGTGTATGTTGTTAGCATGTCTCTCCAGGTTCTTCTGTTCTCCGTATCATTAGATTTAATTCTGTTTACCTCTTCTGGTAGCTCTTACAACCTTGGCTCTGGAACAAACCTTGTTACATACTTTCCGCAGTTTCTTAGCATACTTTTTTCAGGTGTGGGTTCAATACCGGTGCTGCATTTTCCAAGAGGTGTGTAACATATGTTGTTATATACAGGGCCCGGAATGACTACTGAGATTTGCCAGGCGAGCACTGGTTGCTGTGGTTATTAGTTCATATGAGCTTGTGGCGATATTACCAGACACTACGATCACCCCCGAGGTATTTCTAAGTGAAGTTTGAAGCCTCTGTTACCCCCGAGTCTATATTCCATGTCCGGCTTCTTGTTCCTTCCCCAATCTTCATTATCTTGCATTTGTCAGTGGTGTAATACTTGTGTAGTATATATATTATGTGACAATATCATGTATATGCAGCATTCATCCGTACATCACGCTGTGTCACGTGATTTCCCTACTGGACTGCATAAGCTAGGCCGCAGGTCGTCAGTTAGAAACCAGACCAGGCGACGGGTAGACAGATCAGCGCTGGGCTCCGTCCTTGTGCATCAATATACTACCATAACAGACTCAGCTGTTGATGTCATTGCTATTTCACTCTTCCCATAAACCCCACAACACATTTACTGGGGTTAAATTGAAGCAACCACTCATCTGGGCCAATCTTGTGATCTGTCCAGATCTGTTTGGAGCTTTTCCCTGTTACCTGGAGGTTATTCCGGAGATCAACGCCCCCGCGGCCCGGTCCATGACCAGGCCTCCCGATGGATCAGGGCCTGATCAACTAGGCTGTTACTGCTGGCCGCACGCAGTCCAACGTTCGAGCCACAGCCCGGCTGATCCGGCACTGACTTTAGGTATCTGTCCAGCTCTCTCTTGAAGGCAGCCAGGGTTTTACTGGCAACTTCCCTAATGCTTGTTGGGAGGCTGTTGAACAGTCTTGGGCCCAGGACACTTATGGTGTTTTCCCTTAGTGTACCAATGGCGCCCCTACTTTTAATTGGGGGCATTTTGCATCGCCTGCCCAGTCTTTTACTTTCGTAGGGAGTGATTTCTGTGTGCAGATTTGGGACCATTCCTTCCAGGATTTTCCAAGTGGAGATTATGATATATCTCTCCCTCCTGCGTTCGAACGAGTACAAGTCAAGTGCTTCCAAGCGTTCCCAGTAGTTAAGGTGCTTGACAGAACTTATACGTGCAGTAAAGGTTCTCTGTACACTCTCTAGATCTGCGATTTCACCTGCTTTGAATGGAGATGTTAATGTGCAGCAGTATTCCAGCCTAGAGAGAACAAGTGATTTGAAAAGGATCATCATTGGCTTGGCATCTCTCGTTTTGAACGTTCTCATTATCCATCCTATCATTTTCTTTGCACGTGCGATCGTGGCACTGTTGTGATCCTTGAAAGTGAGATCCTCAGACATTACTACTCCCAGGTCCCTTACATTATTTTTCCGCTCTTTTGTATGGCCAAAGTCTGTCCTCATCTGTTTTTATTTTCTTCATCAGTTTTACATCATCAGCAGAGATGGTAGGTAAGACACATAGGCAACAGTTAGGCAACTTTATTCCGAAACGTTTCGCCTACACAGTAGGCTTCTTCAGTCGAATACAGAAAGTAGGCAGGAACAGTAGAGATGTGAAGACGATGTAATCAGTCCATCACCCTTGAAGTCGTAGAATTTGAGGTTGTCAGTCCCTCGGCCTGGAGAAGTTCAGTTCCATAGTCATAGTCCAGGCCGAGGGACTGACAACCTCAAATTCTACGACTTCAAGGGTGATGGACTGATTACATCGTCTTCACATCTCTACTGTTCCTGCCTACTTTCTGTATTCGACTGAAGAAGCCTACTGTGTAGGCGAGACGTTTCGGAATAAAGTTGCCTAACTGTTGCCTATGTGTCTTACCTACCAACCTGTCGGTATTGTATACCATTTTGATGTTCATCAGCAGAGATACATCTGATTCAGTTCAATATGGAAAGTCATTTACATAAGCTAGAAGCAACATTACGTATGCCTGTTATTTTTTTCCCCCGTCTGACACAATTACTCTTTGCTTCCTCTCCCTAAGGTACCCTCTCGATGCACTTGTGTATGTTCTGTTATTCCTGCCTGTGTTCTATAGAACTTAATGAGATTGTTAGTACCCTAAAAGAATGCATGCGAGTGTGTGTGAAAGGAAGGGGGAGGAGGATTTTGAGAGACTGCTAAAGATCCTGATGATAGGCTTCTTTCTAATCGTCCTCAAGATCTGTAGCAGTGAACACCTACCTGAAGAATAAGAATACAGAATACGTATACAGAAAGAACCTTCTCAGTTTTAAACTTTCCTAACCATATTATAAACTGCTGCAAAACTAAAGCCCATTAACATATTTTGAAATTAGAAGAACACTCCTATCAATGGCAGGGTGATTCTACCAAGAGGAATGACTTGTCGCTTTTATACTGAAAACAGCTGACACTGGAGTAGCGGTACTTATCACAAAAACTACTAAGGAAACCACCAGGGCTCCCCACCCTGCTAAGAATAGTCACGTGGCATATAGAATACCATGTTATAAACAGAAAAATACACGTATCTCACGAAGTGCAAATAAGCGCATCTCCTGTACCAGGAGAACAGCAAAGAGAGATGCTATGTCTTGAATAAACAGCTATATTTGTCTCTAACACCAACACACACAACAGAGGCAAGTACAGTGTAGCTAAATCCATTTCTAAAACTATTTTCAAACACGAAAAAACAAAAATTACTAAGACCTGACCACACGAATCAGACCACAGCCAACGTTATCTGACCATGAGTGTCTGCACTTGACCTGACCCCTAAACTTGGCATTACCTGAGAGGTCACCTCACATACAACGGAAGGTACATCTCAACTTCCACCTCGCCCAGCACCTGACTCTATTTCATAACACAATGTCGCTAGCTTTGCTATTCCATATACTTGATAAAGTCTCATGTAAGTGAAACTTCGTACCAGTATAGGTCTCCTTTTGTCGTATGTCTAAAACTGTGTTTGATTAATTAGAAAATTAGAAATCCATGTGCTCACATTTCCAGTTATTCGTTTTTTATGACTTATGTGCTATTACACTACGATCACACAAGTCTAAGGCTTCTGGAAAGTCTTCTGCATTTTGTCTTCCAGGACATCCAAGACCATGCACTGGTCCAGCAATTGTGAGAAGTAAGAGCTAACTCTGCTCTAAACCCGTGTTACGCTGGGTTCTGAAACTGTTGCAATTCCATCTAGCTGGTAGTCTTGTTCCTTAAGACTCTTTCATAGATTTTCATAACATGTGGGTCTGATGAGGCATTTACTGCCTTTTTTTTCAATGCAACATGGCTGCAAGGTAGTGAAATATTCTTTCTAACACTAAATAAAATCTCTGGGATCTCAATGGTTGTGAACAGGTTAGCCTGCTTACATGGCACGTACCTGCTTACATGGCACGTACCTACTTACATGGCACGTACCTACTTACTTTAAAGTAACATGCAGAGCAGTCTGCGTTACTGCATTGTTTATTTTTCGACGTATAACACATTTTAGTGTGTAAATGCTTGCAGGAGGTAAAATGGCACAACCTTTTAGTTAAAGAGATCACATTTTTTGGGAAGGTCAAAGATACGTATCCATTTTTTTTTTTTTCACATATTCTTTTTCTCTTGCTAACATCCCAAGCATAGAATTTACACAATTCTATTGTCTATTGGCTGTGACTTTGGGGGTCTGTACTGCCATGTGATTCATCGGTTTATGGGTTTGTATTAAAACTTGGGCAGTTATGTGTACTGCTGTCATGTACTGGGTTACTTAAATAATTTATTCAGTTGTATCATCACTCTACGTCTGAAATCTGAGTAACATTTTGCTTATTATAATCTACATCCTTTTTCATTTTCTTCCTGTTCTGTGGGAGTGCAGATTATTCAATCATCTCTAGCACAATCCAATCAGCAACTTAACCTGCTGACAAGCATCCTACTGGTTGAATCACTTCCTTTCATGTATTCAAACGGCGACTCCCGCCAAAACTCAGTTCTCCCATTAGTTAACTTTAATTTAGTCAAGTAACAAATCACCGTAGTGTTTGTAACACGTTGTTGTATACACACCATCGGAAGCACGGGAGGAGCCTTGTTTTACGTAGAAAGAAGGTGGTGGATGTGTAAAGCTTTGAGTGTAGATTGCAGAGGCAAGGAAATGTTGCAGGGGCAAGGATGTATGTTGCAGGGGCAAGGATGTATGTTGCAGGGGCAAGGATGTATGTTGCAGGGGCAATGATGTATGTTGCAGGGGCAATGATGTATGTTGCAGGGGCAAGGATGTATGTTGCAG